CACACTTCAGATTCAAAGATACAAATGGATTGAAGTAAAAGCACAGGAAAGAAACATCTGTAAACGGCACCCACAAGGTAGCTGGAGAGCTAATACAGATATCTGGCCAAATAGACTTGAAAACATAAAATATCACTGGAGATGTTGAGGAGCATTATATCACACAGAAAGCATCAAATTTATGGGCTGCATCTCAAACCCAACACAGAGAAAGACTTATAGCCATCAATCCCTATACCCCCAAAGAAGAGAGATCTCAAATCAATAACCTAACCTTTCACCTAAACAGACTTGAAAAGACGAGGTACCAAACCCATAGCAAGGAGGAAAGAAGATAATAAGAGTAGAGCAGAAACTATGAAATGAGGAAGAGAAAAACCACAGAGAAAATCAATGAAACCAAAAGTGGGTTCTAAGGAACGATTAACCAGATTGACAGATCTACACCTAGATTAATCTAGAGAAAAAGAAGGAAGATTCAAATTAATACAGTCAAGACAAGAGGGGGATATTGCTACTGACATTACAGAAATAAAAAGAATTATAAAAGAATTCAACAAACAATTGTATGGCAACAAATTAGATAAATCAGATGAAATGGATAAATTGCTCAAGAGACAAACTACTGAAACTAATTATAGAATAAATGGAAATCTGAATAGAACTATAGTAAGTGAAGTAGTTTAATCAATAAATGAAAAACCCGGGCCAGCCCCGTGGCTTAGCGGTTAAGTGTGTGCGCTCCACTGCTGGCGGCCCGGGTTTGGATCCCGGGCGCGCACCGATGCACCGCTTCTCCGGCCACGCTGAGGCCGTGTCCCACATACAGTAACTAGAAGGATGTGCAGCTAAGACATACAACTATCTACTGGGGCTTTGGGGGGAAAATAAATAAATAAATAAAATCTTTAAAAAAATAAAAAATAAAAAAAAATAAATGAAAAACCCTCTACGTAAGCCTAGGCCCAAATGGCTTCAACTCAGAATTCTCCAAAACACTTAAAGATTGTTACATGTTCTTCACAAGCCCTTCTAAATAATAGAATGGAGACAACAATTCACACTCATTTTGTGAGGCCAGTACTACTCTGACACTAAAACCAAGTGTATTGCCAAAAAACTACACCTGTTTCTTTTGTGAGTATGAATGCAAAAAACCTCAACAAATACTAGAAAGCCCAATCTAGCAACATAAAAAAAGAATTATACACCATGACCAAGTGGGTTGATTCTAGGGTGAGAGTTTGGGTTAAAATATCACAATCTATTAGTGTGATAAAGGATATTAAAAATCAAAAATGGCAAGATCATTTCAATAGAATCAAGGTAAATAACTGACAAAATCAGTACACTTTCAGGTTTAAAAGATTCAGCATAACGAGAATGGGGTTTTATATGGAAAACCCACAGCTAGTATTATATTTAATGGTGAAAGACTGGAATTCTTTCCCCTCAACATAAGGAACCAAATTAGGATGTCTGCTTTTGCCACTTCTATTCCAGAATGTACTGGAGATTTTAGCCAGAACCAGTAGGCAAGAAAAGAAATAAAATGCATGCAGATTGGTTGGGAAGATGGAAAATTCTCTCTACCTCCAGATGAGGTATCTTGTGTAGGGGTTCTGATTATGTCACCTCAAAACATGGCACATTGGAATATTGATTATTTTGAATTAAAGGTACTTGATAAACAGCCACTGGAAGAAAGACACTCTGGCCCTCCTTTGTCCCCTTTAAAGCAGGAGATGCATTTCCTGTGTGAACGGTATGCTACTTTAACTAGGAGGGCAGAAGGCAACCTTATCATCAGAGACAAGGAATTTAGAGCTGAGAAGCCTGCATAAAAAAACCTTGTTATTTCTTCATTGTTTATTACCCCTAGCCCAAACCCTTCTGCCTTGTCAATTCTTCCCCAATTTATTGTCTCTTTGTCTAAAAGGCATGAAATCTTCCTGCTCTGGTTACTTCTTTGAGACTCACTTTTTGGGGGCTCCCATACATAGGTAATTACATTTGTTTTTCTTCTTTTAATCTGTTTTATGTCACTTTATTAGACCAGCCAAAGATCCTAGAAGGGAAGAAGGAGAAAGTTTTCCACCCCTACACTTGCATACAGAAAACTCTGAGAAGTCCACCAAAAAACTATTAGAACTGATAATTGAATTCTGCATTGTTGTAGGATACAAGATCAAAATATAAAAATGAATTGTATTTCTATATACTTGCAATGAACAATCTGATAATGAAATTAAGAAAATAAATGCATTTACAATAGCATTGAAAGGAATAAGATACTTAGGAATATATTTAACACAAAAATTACAAAACAAATACTATGAAAACTACCAACATTATCAAAAGAAATTAATACACGTATTAGTAAATTGGAAAATGTCCCAAATTCATGGATCAGAAGACTTACCATTGAAATGTCATATCTCCCCAAAATGATCTGAAGAATCAACACAACACATAATCCCAGCTGATTTCTTTATCAAAATTGGAAAGTTGGTTCCTAAATTTATATGGTATTGCAGGGAAACAGAATAGCCAAACCATTTAATTTTTTGCTGAGGAAGATTCACCCGGAGTTAACATCTGTTGCCAGTCTTCCTCTTTTTTTTATGTGAGCCGTTGCCACAGCATGGCCACTGACAGATGAGTGGTATGGGTCCAAGCCTGGGAGCTGAACCTGGGCCACCTAAGCAGAGTGCACTGAACTTAACCACTAGGCTACCAGGGCTGGCCTTAGACAAACCATTCTTGATAAAGAAAAACAAACTGGTTGAACTAATATTTCCTGATATCAACACTTTGTACAGTGTTGCAGTGATCTGCACACAGATGTGCAGTGATCATCAAGGTAGTGTGGTATTGACACAAGGTTAGACATACAGAGCTGTGGAATAGATTATGATTTGAGAAATAAACCCACACGTCTATGGTCAACTGATTTTTTTTCAAAAGTGTCAGGAATGGGGAAAGAATATTTTCATAATTTTGTGGTGGACCAAGTGGATAGACACATGCAAAGAAAGAGGTTGTACACTTAGATCACACCACATACAGTAATTTACCCAGAGGAATCAAAGACCTAAACATAAGTGTAAAACTATAACAATTAGATAAAATATAGGAAAAAGTTCCTGACTTTGAATTTGGCAAAGAATTGTTAGATATAATACTAAGAGCAAAAACGGGGGAAAAGGGGAATTTAATGACTTTTGTGCTTCAAAAGACACCATCAAGAAAGTGAAAACACTTTTTGGAACTCATGCACTATTGCTGGGAATATATAATCATGTTCATGGTATGAAAAACAACATGGCAGTTCCTCAAAGAATTAAGAACTAAGCAATTCTATTTCTGGGTAAAGACCAAAAAGAATTGAAAGCAGAGACTCAGACACATGTAGGTCCACTTGTGTTCACATTAGCATTATCGACAATAGCCAAAAGGTGGAAGTAACCCAAGCGTCCTTCCTTCTACAGTTGAATGGATCACAATTCTGCCAGTGGCTTTTAATATCTCCATGGTCCAGGCAGTGCCCAGGATTTTCCCTAAAGACTGATGCCTAGGCTCACGGGGTCAATTTTGAAGAGAAAAACAACAATTTTGAGTTATTGCCTAAAAATTTTAGAGTATGACAACCCTGCTCACACCCAAAGTCTGGACATTTAGATAAGGACCTGAGCTTAGGCTTCTTGCCATAAGTCCCGCTTTGCTTTTCCTGGGCCACCTTTTAAAATAACCATTTAGAGTTGAGCTGGTGAAAAATTAGTGACCTCCACCCCAACCACCTTGTAAATTTTGGGTGCTAGTTATCCAGTGCTCTGTCTCCTGCTAGCTCGTGACCTGGGACAGAGGACTGCCCTTCTCCTGGCTCATTGCACCCTCACCCCATTTCTACAATCCATAAGTAGCAAATCTTGTGACTTTATGTGGGTGTATTGTGTAGGGTCTTCAGCAAAAGACACCACGGTTTTCACCTCCCCAAAGTGGGAGCTCAGATGATGAGGGAACAACCTGCTGACCTCATGTGGGTGGCACATCCCTCCATATTCGGCAGGTCATGATCTACCTACCCTGAATTTAATAAACCAGCTACAGCTTCTCAACGTTATTACACAGTGCACCCTGTTAAAGTGTACAATTCAATGGTTCAGTATATTCACAAATAAGTATTTGATGAAAATAATGGATGAGATTATGGAATCCTTGTACCTGTTGGGCCATCTTTTGTAAATTTCTCTCAGTTTGTCCAGAATTTTCAATATACGTGGAGCAGGTTGTGCCCTTTATAGAACATGCCGCTCCTTCCTTGGCCAATAAGTAATCTAAAGCTAAACGGTTATGCAAAACCATCTGCAGTAAAGAATCCTGTTGCTGTTGCATTAATTCCAGCTTTGGTGTAATGGCCCAGTGTGTTCAGCCAGGTAGCTGACAGGCTTGTATGTGCCTTAATAATGTGTCGTTGTGAGCACAGTGAGGCACATAGCCCCGTCCAGGTGAGGGATAGCAGCAGACCTACTCCCAACACAATGGGGATGAATACTGCATGCTTCTGATGTGAGGGGGCAGAAAGAAAGACGAATTGGGGGTCCTGTTCAGTGTTTTGTAAGGGTAGACCCAGGGAGACTGTCAAAAGGTCAGAAATAACAGAAGTACAACCAATGAGTCACTGAAGTAGTAATTAATAAATGTTGATCGTGCACACAGCAAAGACAGTTTCCAAACTGGGAGCACTCAAACCAAAACATGGAAGGAGGCCCAGGTGCACATTGTTATAAAGCAACTTATAGAGAGAGAAAGAAGTGACTGTTTATTCTTCCCAGGGATTGGTCATAATATTAGAATTTTCTTGAATGGTAAGGAATTGGTGGGTGGGTGGTTATCTACCATCAACCTTGGGAAACAGTTTAAGTTTTCTCATGATATTCAGAGGAATGGGCAAGAAATGACCCAGGTCAAGTTAGTTTTGCAAAATAAGCTAAGTTAAGCTTTACTTCTCTGACTAAACTGGTTTTGTCTGCTCAGGGAATTTTCAAGGTTAGTCTCGGTTTTTTATTTTAACAAGACTAAAGTAAATTGGTATGAACAGACGGGACTCCCTGGGGGCCGAGCAGGAGGCAAGTGCATAGGAGGTGGAGGGAGGGAGAAGTGCACACATGGAGAACCACATAGTGTGATGGCCCCAGAGCGCTAGACCCACAATGGACACCAACTGCTTGATTGGGGAAGATGAAGGAGAGGGGGGTTCCCCCAGATGGCTGGGCCTCGAGTCCCAAGACCATGGGGATTGTGCTCCTGGGGAGGAGGTGTAGGTCATATTCATCCATGTGGTGTTGGTCCTAGGCCAATATGGGGGATTATAAAGGCACTTGTGGCCTCCTGCCAGGTGCCAAATACTGCATTGCAAAGTGACCTGCTGGCTGCAGCTGAGAGCCATAGAGAGCAGCTGGGCAAGCCACAGGGAGCATGGGGTGATTTTTTTGGGTAAATGGGGCAGGATCAATAAATCATCAAAGTGAGCCACTAACTTTGGCAAAAGCCATTGCTGAGCCTGGTAACATGACTAGCAATTACGGTGGCCCTGTAATTGAGCTCTGATTTCTGCCCATTGTATAAAAATACATAGACTATTGGAGGGCTGAATGGGAGGACTGTGAATCCTTGAATGCTGACCACAGTGAAAGGCCCTTTTAGTTGTTGTAGGGAGGTGACACTGCAGCTGTGGTCCTTGAGGGTGTAGGGGGGATGCTCTGGTGGTGGTAGCATCTGAAGCCGGGGAGGGGTTCAGACATTAAGTTCACTGACTCCCACTAGGACTCATAACGTGGACAAATGTACAGGGTGTGGTGAGGGCAAGCAACTGAGTGAAGTGTTTAAAGGAGTAAAGTTGTGAGACTCGACACATATCTTGGCCTTTCAAAGCTAACGTGTAGAGGAGGGCAGCATGGCAGGCAGAGTACCACCTCACCATTGAGCAGTAAGCGTTGTGGTAAGCAGGAGGGCTTTGGGGTAAACATACAGTTAATTCTGCAAAATGCCACTCATTGGGTCATCAGCAAGGAATTTAGATAAACAAGCATTCCATTCAGCAACCAAGTCCCAGGGAGTGCTTGCCATCATCAGCCGCCATGTCTTCCTTGGTGTCATCTCTGCTACAGTGCAAAGTTGCTTATGCAGCATTCAGGGTGGAGCTGTGTCCCACCATGTCATGTGCTGGGGACTGTCATCTCCAGCATTGTTGCAGGTAAAGGGAGCCAACCCAGAGAGGGATAGCTCTCCCAAGTAGCCACCCAGGAGGGGAACTGAGGGGCAAAGGGACCTAACAGAAATGTATAGATTTGGAATACCCTGATTAAGGTTTGCTTGCACCATCAGGAGCACCTACTGGTATAAAAAATTCTCAGTAAACTTTGGGGGTCCTCAGTAGTTCACCTTGCAGATGATTGGGCCGTGCTCTCCTCTGAGGCATAGAAGGTCTCCATCCATAAATAGTAAAAGTTGGAGGCATATGTGTAGCCTTGGTTTAAGGGAAATTTAGTTAGATGCTCCCAACAATTTATTGTTTAGACCTGTGTTACCAGAGAAGGTATATATTGGTTGAACTCCATAATCCTATCAGCTATTAGGGTTAAAATTTGAGTATGTAATGGCCAGTGTGCCAAAGTCAGGATATTGGTGACCACTTGTGCAGGGTTGGTGGCCTTTAAGCATTTGTGCCATTGGTCCCATTTTATTTTTTATTATTATTTTTTTTT